AAAAAAATTAAAAAAAAAGAACATGAATAGAGAATCTACAGAATGGGAGAAAATCTTTGCCACTTGCACCTCAGATAGCTCATTAATCTCCAGGATATACAAAGGAATCAAAAAACTTAACACCAAAAAACCAAAAAACAGGCACTTCACAGAAGAAATATGAATGGTTGAAAAATACACAAAAAATGTTCAACATCTCTAGTAATTAGAGAAATGTAAATTAAAACTACACTGAGATTCCATCTCACTCCAGTCAGAATGGCAATTATCAAGAATACAAGGAACAATAAATGTTGGCCAGGATGAGAGGAAAAAGGTACATTCACACATTGCTGGTGGGACTGCAAATTGGTGCAACCACTCTGGAAAGCAGTATGGAGATTACTAATAAAACTTGGAATGGAACCACCTTTTGACCCAGTTATCCCATTTCTTGGTTTATACCCAAAGGACTTAATATCAGCATACTACAGTGATGTAGCCACATCAATGTTTATAGCAGGTCAATTCGCAATAGCCACGCTATGAAACTGACCCAGGTACCCTGCAACAGATGAATAGATAAAGAAATTGTATACACACAATGGAATATTACTCAACCATAAAGAAGAAAGAAGTTATAGCATTTGCTTGAATATGGATGGAACTAGAGAATATCATGCTCAGTGAAATAAGCCAATCCAAAAAAAAAAAAAACCAAAAAACAAAAAACAAAAAAAACCCCAAAGCTGAATGTTATGATATGTGGATGCTAACCCACAACRAGGGAGGGTAGGAAGGGAAAGAATAGAAGTTCATTGGATTAGACAAAGGGGAATGAAGGGAAGGGAGATGGGATGGGAATAGGAAAGACAGTAGAATGAATCAGACATAACTTTTCTTTGCTCATATATGAATACACAACCAGTGTAACCACAAAAATGAGATCCTATTTGGAATGGGTTATATTTCATGAATGTAAAATATGTCAAAATAYACCTTACTGTCATATATATCTAAAAAACAACAAACAAAAAAWTTACAATTTAAGGTGAAATCCAACTAGATTGAGATAGAAGAATAAGAATTGAAGATTTTCCATATTTGGGCTGGGGCTATGGTTGAGTGGTAGAGTGCTAGCTTAATACTTGTGAGGCACTGGTTTAATCCTTAGCACCACATAAAAATAAACAAATAAAATAAAGGTATGCTGTCCATYCACATACAAAAAAATCTAAAAAATTAAGAAAAGGTTCACGATATTTATTTATTAGATTTATAAAAAAATATTGAAAAACTTAAGTTCTGGTAGAAGGCAACAGAAGTCCATYAACTTCATATGAATATGTTTAAAAATGTTTGATTAAGTCTATAATGGGGTCAAATGTTATTCAAAGACCTTTTAAAAGTGATTGTTAAAATATGTTAGATTTATCAATTGAGAGACTGGATTTCTAAGCTTAACCTAACTGCATATGAAACTCCCTGGATTCTCAGAACAGCCCTGGTGTGGTGGGCACTGTTATGATCTGATGCARAGATGAAGAACCTAAGACAGAAGGAGTTCATTGKCTTCCTTAAATCCATAAATCAAGGGCTGCAGGTGGGATTGAAGCTGGATCTAGTTAGGAAGGCAGAGAGGAAGAAGGAGTGTGCATGTGACCTATTTCCTGAGCAGCTATGAGTGAGTGTCACAGGAGACGTCTGTGACATCTGGGGCACTTTGATYGGGAAGGAAGAGCAAGGATCATCCATTTGACAATCAAACCACTGGGGCTTGAGCCCTGTAGTGCTGGCATTAATAACCCTCACCTTATTTTATAGCCATAGGCTGAGGAGGCCTGGGTATTTGGGTTAAATGTGTTATTCCATTTGAACCTCAAAACAGCCTCAATGGGTAGACAGATATTATTATCCACATTTATCGATAAAGATATTGAAGCCWTATGACCTCAGATACAGAACGAATAGAGCTATAATACACACAGGCCTCTAARTGCAGGGCTAGTTCTTGAGAACATTGTCTTGTTACTTATGATGATTATCCCTTTCTAGTCTACAGAATTAAATATGCAAATTTCACATTTAAAGAAATTTATTTTTAAGATACTACTTACCAGTTACAATTCGGTCACTCATTTAACAAACTTCTGCATGCTTGTGAGTAATGTGTGTGAAGAATTTAGTTTCTCTACCATGTAACTTATACTTTCCTATAAGTTCTATACTGTATATCTSCAAATAAATATTTAATAACTGTTGACTAAACTTTTTCCTAGTGCTTTCTTACTTGATCGTGAGTTTGTCAGTGGTAGTTTTTGGTTGCAGGGCAATGAGATTTTCGATGAACTTCTGGCCCTGGATCTCCCTGATGCTCCTTTGGGCCTCAGGRTGTATTCCTAAGATCTCGGGTGAATCATCTTCAGGTAAAGACTCGATAATGTGTATGCAGTCTTTTATGCTTGCAGATTCTGGTATGTATTGACACATCTGAAAATTTAAGCATTTGGTTAGTTTTTGCCCGAGTGAGACACCTACTTTCACTAATGTATGAAGGCAATATTTCTCCATGAAATTTTATACAGAACATTCTTCTTATTTGTATATAGTATATTCTAAACACTCTGTCAAAAGCAACATCTGGGGCTACYGTATTGTAAAGTATATATTACATACATCTAACCTTCTTTTGGCAAAAGAGAGAAAAAGGGAAAAAGTGTTAAAAGACTAGGGTGATTCTAACCATTCATTGCTCAATTAACTATACTCATGGATAATGAATGCAATAGAGCTTAAACAAATAGTTCTACTTTAGKAAAACCTGTGAAAGGAATGTGAAAATAATAGTTATGGTTTGGATCAAAAGGCACACATGTAGTAGGGTTGATGTGGTCTTTACTCTCTCTTTAGGCTCAGTCCAAGRTGCGTGGTGGTGTCTCCTGCCAGATTTGTATGCTGTAACTCTAGGTTCTCAGATTTCATGGACTGTTTCTTTTCCATCATTTTCCTTTGTAATGTTATGTTTAATAGAGTAATGGGTAAATTGCTTTTGTAAGACTGTATTTAAAATTAAATAAAAGCCATTAAAATGAACATTAAAATGCAACAATGGTTAGTTAATGATTGGGCAAAATTATAAGATAAATTTCCTTACCGCATCACTAGAGAAACTGAAGTCATCTTTCAGCACTTCAGGATTGCAAAATTTGTAGAGGAGTGTCTTTAAGCATCGCTTGTCCCAGATATCAGTAACCCGGCTGCCAGAAATCACTTCCCCGATCAAGTAGCGCACAGATGGCCACGGAATTTCAGACTCTTTACTCAGGACATTTGCCAAGACCTTTATAGAAAACTTGAGAAAATCCACTAGGCTTTATTATTTCAGTGTGTGTTTTTAGCTTAACAGACATTTTAACATAAAACCAACAACTCTTAGCAGCTACATGTATTTTCTTTTTAAAATGTGTATTGAGCCGGGCTCARCGTCCCAATTCTGTGCAGCTGGGGAGACTGAGCAAGAGGATCACGAGTTCAAAGCTAGCCTCAGCAAATTAGCGAGACCCTGTATCAAAATAAAATATAAAAGGGGCTGGAGATGTGTCTCAATGGTTGAGCACCCCTGGGTTAAATTCCCAGTACCAAAAAAAAAAGTTCAAATAAAAAAATATGGAAATAGCAAGAGAAATAAGCATATTTGGAGATTTGGATATACATTTATCCACTAGCTCTTTTTTTGTTGTTGACAGTTGAACCATTACATTTAATTATTATTACTTCTTTGAACAGACAAAACAAGCCTGTGGTTTTGAATTCAAAAGGTACTGAAGGGTAAACAAGGGAAAGAAAKTTTGCCCTTACCCTGTTCTCTAGCTCTGAGCTCTCCTCCCTTGGCCAACATTGGTAACAATTTCTTGGGTGTCTTTACAAAGATATTCTAGTGTAACTAGTAGAATGCACATAGTGGATGAATATAAATGGGATTGGTTCCTTCTCTCATTCTTTCCCTTCCTATCTTCCCTTCTCTTCCTTTCTACCTTTTCTCTTTTGACTCCCCATCTTTCTGTTTTCCTGTCTCCTTGTTCCCACAAATACTAGTTTAGTGTAACACAGTTCTGCAGTTGGAAAACATATGTTGGCTATCATTGTTCAGTAGCTGGAACAATTCATTATTTCTGCTTCGTGAAAGAATTCTTTGCCACTGTTCTTTCATTCCTGCCACTAATGGGAGATGGCTTGTCAACAGTTAGTTCTCTGTAATTTGTARATTCTGCATCCATGGATTTAACCAAGCACAGATTGAAAATATTCCACAAAATGGAACCAAACTCCGAAAAACCAAAAGCATCTGTACTGAACAAGTACAGACTTTTTCTTGCATTATTCCCTAAACAGCACACTATAACAATGATTTATGTAGAGCTTACATTGTATTAGGTCTTATAAGCAATCTGGAGATGATTTAAAATATATGAAAGGCCACGTGTAATGGTGTACACCTGTAATCCCAGTGGCTGGGGAGGCTGAGGCAGGAGAATTGCAAGTTCAAAGCCAGCCTCAGCAACTTAGGGAGACCTTGTATCTAAGTTAAGAAAAGAAGAAAAAAAAATATATATATATGGGCTGGGGATGTGGCTCAGTGGTTAAATATCCCTGAGGTCAATCCCTGGCACCAAAGAGAGAAAGAGGGGGGGGGGAATATGCATGTTTGTAGGTTTTGTGCAAATATTACATTATTTTATAGTATAAGAAACAATAAACATCCTCAGATATTAGCGTTTGAGGGGATTCCTGGAACCAATTCATCCTGATGACATTGAAGGACAACTAATTAATTTTTTTTTTTTGCCAGTCTGTTAGGTAGAAAATTTCTGTTAGTTTATTTTGTATTTTACCTGATGCTGGATTTCTTGAGCTTCTTCTCTTATGTCAGTTGGTCTTTAAAATTTTCTGTACATTGCCTATTTTTCCTTTAGAATGTTTGTCTTTTTCTTGCTAATATGTAAGAGTTCTTTTATATTATAGATAGTAAGCCTTTGTCAGTAATCTGCATTGCAACTATTATCCTAAGTGTTATTTGTCTATTGACTACTTGCTCACCATTTTTCATATAAAAGTTTTTATAATCAAATATTCCTACTTTTATGATTCTGGGTTTCTAATTTTCTTTTCTCATCTCAATGCATGTCCTAGAACTTGTAAGATAACATTGAATGATAAAGGTAATAATGTGCATCCTTGYCTGATTCTAGATTTTATTTGAAACAATTTTTTGTGTTTCACTATTTAGAATAATATTCACTGTTGTTTTGATAGTCTTTGTCATATTTTAATAGTTCCTTTAATCCTAACACTTCAGAGTTTTTATTAGAAATGGCTCCAAAATTCACAGTAACCTTTTTATATCTGTTTGTCATATAAATTAGGATTATAGATCTCCAGATATYGAGTCATTCTTACATTCCTAGACTAATCTCAACTTATCATAGTACATTATTCTTTTGATTCATAATTGAAAATTATGAATACTTTATAGAGAATTTTTACATTTCAAGTCCTAAATAAAATTAGTCTATAGTTCTTATATATACTATTACCTTTCTGTGGGTTTCATAAAAGGAATTGGGAGATTGCCATCTTTTTCTAAGGTCTGTAATACTTTATTTTATTTATTCATCTTAMTGCATTTTTTTATTTTTAATTTTTTTAGATATACATGACAGTAGAGTGTATTTTGATTAAATAGCATTAATRCCATCGGTTACAGTTCAGAGTGAACTAAGCTGTGAGGTGTCTCCTTGAGGTGTCTTCTGAATGTCTTYAATGGCAATTGGTTGATTGAAAATTTCCAAATTGGATCATTCATATTTTTTAGGAAATCAATGACTTCATTTAAATTTTAAAATTTCATTGGATCAAAAATTAAAATTTGAATTTTTTCCTTCTACTATTTTAGTRTACTTCATTAATATTGGTTTTATTCTTTATTTCCTTAGTATTATCTACTTCTTAAGATGAGTATTAATTTAACATATTTCTTTTTTTAACAATGAAGACATTTAAGGCCCTATTTTTTCACAAGTATAGCCTTTTTACTGTCATGTCCTTTTTAAATATGGAGTTGTCTCTCATTGTATTYGAAGTATTTTGTGATTTCCCTTTTCATTGATAAAATATTATTCTATTGTCTGATGGATGACATAACATAATGATCAAGAACCCAAACTTTTTTAAAAAAATTTTTTAGTTGTTAATAACCTTTATTTTATTCATTTTTTTGTATGTGGTTCTGAGAATCGAACCCTGTGCCTCACACATGCTAGACAAGTGCTCTACCACTGAACCACAACCCCAGCCTGAGAACACAAACTTTCAGACCATCTATGTTTAAATTATGTGCTTCATAATTCTATATTTCAACTATAAAATAAGGCTAATACTATATTCTTTAAATGATTGTGAGGTTTAATTACTCCATAAAGTGCTCCTTATATTAAGAGAAAGCACTCTTAACAATTTTATGACTGTTAAATATTCTTTAAAAATTCTTTCTTTCTTTCACCTATTTGGTGCTGTCTTTATTCTCCCCTTGGTGGTGCTGGGGCTGGAACCCAGAAGCTCACACATGCTGGGCAAGTTCTCTACCACTGAGCTACACCCCCAGCTCATTCTCTTTGGTGCTTTTCAGCTTAAAGTCCACTTTGACTCATTCATATCACCATTCCTGCTTTTTAAAATTTCTGTTTCTTTCTTTGGTAGTTTCAAGGTTTGTTTATTAAGTATATTTATTATACATAGCATACATTGGGTCTAGTAACCAATATTCTTGTCTTTTAATGAGGGAATGTAGTTCATTTAATAAAATGACTGATAAAATTCCTTTCATGTTGTTTTATGCTATGACTTATTTTATTTTATTGTTTAACTTCCTCCCTCTTAATTTTGATGGTTTGATCAAGGTGTTATTTATTTTCTTTGTTTAATTAAAGACATAATGGCTTGGGGGTATGCTTAGTGGTAGAGTGCTTGCCTAGCATATACAAGGTTTTGAGTTCAATTTCTAGCACTGAAGATAACAATAATAAAAAAAACACATATTGTTTCTACTAAAGATTACCTTTCTTTTCCTTGAATTCATTTCCTTTTTTCAAATAAAAAGAATATATCAATTATTTATGTACCAAAGTGTCTAATATATGGCACAAGAATTTCCCAATGTATTGTTTGTCTTGCTTAAGCTTTGAATATGTCTGGACAGAAATGTGTGTGAGTTCATATTCCTTGACAGATCTCCGAAGTGTAGCTCTTTTATATTATATTCCTGATTAGGCACAGAAACATCTACTTTGGCAGTTGAGCCTGCAGCAATATGCTGGGCTCAAAACAAAACAAAATATAATAAAACATTAACGACAACAAAACACAAAACCCAGAAAAGCCTGATGAAGACACAGAGAAAGTGATCCAGATTTTCCCAGAAAAGTTTTAAAATCTGCTCTAATGTATAAATGAATGGGTAGTCAAGGGTGCAATGGTCTGTGCTGAAAGCATAGTTGTGAGAAAATTAACTTGGGAAACATTTAAACAGGGGCTACTACCTGTCTACTTTAATGATAAAGTAAACACACTGCAATAAAACACATAGGAGGTTCTATAGAGGGTATTAAGCTAAGCTCCCTTCCCMAAATGAGTCATTGTAACAATCTCTCTTTTACTTTATTTGAATAAGAAATACTGAYAAACATTTTTAGGGTGACTTTATGTGGGTCAGGCACAGTTCTCTGTGCTTCCTTCTGTTAACTAGTTTGCATCTTCTAGTGGCCCTGTTCAGTGGGTAGGACATTTATTCCCCTCCTGCTCTGCTTTATTTCACCAAGGAATCTAAGACCCAGAAGGGTTAATTACCCTGCCCAACAGATTAAATACTTGTAYGGCTGTAAGGGGTGGGGCTATAATTTGATTCCAGAAATGCTGGCTTCAGAAACTGTTTTTAAACATTAGCCTTTTTTGCCTAGTTACAGGGTTTGTTTCTTACCACTGTGTGGGACACTGAGTACATATRGAGACACACAGTAGGCTCTCAGCTTGTATCTTATTGTTATTCATTTGTTATTGTTGGTTCTGAAGAGACCTCACTTACCTCCAAGTCTGAAGAAATAAATTTATAAGCAATATTCCAGCCCCATGTACCATAATTTTTTCTTTCATTGATCACAGCATTGAAAAAACATAGGCTGAATAATAGTTTTTTCCACCATTGTCCACAGTTGGGGTTTTCAAATATCTCTTCTGTCACCTCTCCATTTCCACCAAACATTTGAAGCAAATTGCTTTTCAGTCCCTGGGTAGGTTCCATGGCAATCTTTAAAGCAGATGGGAATGAAAATGCCATGTGAATAGAGAAGCAGGCACTGGGCAGAGAGTAGATTCTTTTTGTATAGCACTGGTATGAGAGCTAAGTATGTAACTCTTTTCAACATTCACTGGCAAATAAAAAATATTGTTTATTCTTTTGCCATTTGAAAATTTCTGTAATAGGCTTGTTCCAGAGTTTCTATATTGTTTCAGTTCACATTTTAAAATGAGGAGTACAGCATTGTTATTAAAAACACTTCTGTTTGCTTAAGCATAGGGTTTGGGGAACAGCATTTTAGAATGTTTGACAATGAAGGGTTCCTGCAGTGCAAACCTACACATGGATGGCAGCTAGGGGCGATAGCTGCAGACGCAGCGGGTGTCAAATCACAGGATTAACTGCCCAAAGTGTTCTTCAGTACACATATGAAAAATGAGAGCAACAGATTTGGTGTTACTAAATTGTTTTGATTACATTTAGAACCATTTGGTTGATTTTTTTAACCAGAATGACTGAAATGATGAGAGACTGGGTGAGGCGGAGAGGGAATCAATTAGAGGTGTTTTTGAGAGTCTGTTTTTTAAATCTGAAACTGAAAGGTCTGAAGTGTTACCTGACTTACACAGTTTATACACACACACACACACACACACACCCAAGCTATGAATGGAACTATTTTCCATATTCATCAGCAAATAAAAAATGCATTATGTTTATTATACGTAACATGTACAATAATTGCGTGGATATGTATACGTCATATAAAACTGAGTGTATAWGCATATATGTATATATATACATACATGTACACACATGTGTGTGTATATATATACACACATGTGTGTGTGGACATGAAACTTCTGAATYAAGGATCAAATTGATTATTTACTCACAGAATGGCTCATATCATTTCCCTGCCGGYATCCCACAGGTTATGTACTGAGGGCCACATGCAAATATATCGTGTGTGTAGAGTGGGGTTTGTACTATGGGAGAGAATCTGGAACTTTGTAACTTGAAGTTCTTCTAGAATGGCTGGTATTGTAGCATCTCTTCCCCTTCAGGGGTGATAGATAGACTTTTGCTTTGGAATGTAAACAAATACTTTCTGGGGAAGAGACAGGTTTCTAGGTTTTTATAGCCTGGAGTGTAAGCAAATGGCTTTGGGTTTCATTATCCTTACAATACAAGGCAATGGCTTCAGGAGAGAGAGARAAGACAGGCTTCTTTACATCTATTACCCTTAGAATATGAGCAAATGGATCTGGAAGTGTGGGAAGTGCACAGTGGATGAGATATTCTTTATCTTCCCAGGCATATTTGCCTTTCAAGCATCCTTGAATGCAGGTTGCCAGTGATCTTTGCTCAGAAAAATCCTGAATGTGTAGAAATGAGAAAATATTCAGAGTGTTGTTTGATGACTGCCGTGACTGAATCTTTTGAGAAACTCCTTCTCATGTCTCTAAAGCAGGTTTCTGCCCACCCCTTAAGAATTATAAGTGAAGGGAAAGTKAAAGAGGAGAAAGGGAGAGGGGAAGGGGATGAAGGGAGTGTGAYGGTAGGGGGAATTTGATTTCTGTGACAGCATTTTATTTTATCACATAAATGCACCATAATATATTTGACCCTTTACTAGAAGTAGATCACTTCATCAAATTATATGTCTTTTCAATATATAAAAATTCCCTCTAGTTTAATGGCTTAATCTCTTTTTGATCCTACATTGTCAGCATTGTATGAGAATGGTTATTTAGTGCCCTTAATAGCACTAACGATATCATAACTATCCTTAATTTTTGTTAATTTGATGGGCTGTCTCATTGGTATCTTGTCATTTTGATCTGTGTTTCTATGATGTGTAGAGGCTGAACTTKTTTTACTTTTTTCATGGTTACTGACCTCCTATATCTTTTGCTCATTTTTATGAGCTATTAGTGTTTTCCTTAATTATTTGTAGGTACTCTTATTTATGTATTAAGAAAGTTGCCATMTCTGTCTGTATGGATAATGGCATATGACAAAATCCCATACAATTTTACATATGCAGTAATTAAAACTATTGGGATCTTACAGTAGAATCAGAGCAACAGTCCTAATTAAAATAAAAGACCTCCAGAAGCTCTCTGTTYCTCTCTGGTATCCTTTAATTCCCTGCACCTGCTACCTCTACTGTCCCTGCCAACACYCCCAACTCCTGGTCAAAGGATAAAGGTAGTTTAAGGTCATAATCTGCCAGACCCTGGGAGACAAATGGAATATCCTAAGTCAAATGGGAGATGTTGGATTTCTCCAATCCATATTCTGAAGCCTGCTCTGGGGGCAASAGTATTGGGAAGCGGCTCTGGGTAAGAGTACACAGGAGATGGGAAAGAGCTGGGGAAGAGTGTGACAGGGAGAAACTTCTAATTTCAAGAGTGAATCTAATTTTTTCTCATACTAGTTGGGTCTTTATGAGGAAGTACCTCATGCCCCTCATGTCCTCCATCCCACCCCAATTCTGTTAAAGTCAGAAGTGTGTGCAGACATGTGTCTAGCATAGCACTCTGCTTATGCCATTGGTCAGTTTCTCTGCTATTAGGTCTTGTTCTCCTCTTTTGGTCACCTGGAACCTTGGTTAACAGAAWTGACTATGTCTTAGTATTTACTCAACCTCAATATTGGGGGGGGGATATGAATAGAAGTTTCCAATATCCTTTTAGAGTTTTTTGGTAAATAGCCTCAGTCTGCTTTCTGCTAGAACTTTCCAGAAAAGAAATGAAAATTCCATAAGTGGAATAGAAATTCGAAAAAGGATCAAGAGTTCAAAGCCAGCCTCAGCAAAAGCGAGGTGCTAAGCAACTTACAAAGGACAAGTAAAARTCAAAAATTGTACATTTTAACTTATAATAATTGGAAGCCTAACATCTTTGTTTGAAAAAAAATCTAAATTGTGAATTATTTGAAAGCAGAGATCTCATCTTCTACTTTAGCTCCCCTCCTGTCCTTAGCACAAGGCAAAGCACAAAGCAGACACTCAGCATTCTCAGTACTCTTCTTCTTAACTCAGAGTAATGAAAGCATGATGACTTACATTCAAGCAATATTAAAATAGGTTATATTTTGTTTTTACCTTGATACTCTTTTGAAGGATGGGGGCTGGGAAAGAACTGTCTGTCTTTGAACTTAGCCAGAGCCTAAATTCAGGGTCTAATGTCACATTTCTTCTATTAAGTCTGCAAAGTAAAAAAAAAATGTATAAATATTTTAATGTGAAAAATTTAAACATATTCTTAGAGTCATAACATTTTAACGTTTGAAGTAACCTTAGGAATCATTTTAGTGCCAAAGATGTTATTATATTATCATACGAACTTTCTTGTTGTACAAGAATTTGTACAAGACCCATCAATTCCCATTTTTAAGAAGTAGCTTTCCAGCCAAGTGTAGGGTGCATGCCTGTAATCTCAAGCGGTTTGGGAGGCTGAGGCAGGAGGATCGCAAGTTCAACGCCAGCCTCAGCAAAAGTGAGGCCATAAGCAACTCACTGAGACCCTGTCTTTAACTAAAATAAAATAAAATAAAAAAACACAGCTGGGGATGTGGCTCAGTGGTCAAGTGCCCCTGGGTTCAATCCCCAGTACCACCCCCCCACAAAAAAGTAGCTTTCCCTCTTGTAAATACAAAAATCTATATATACTCATTTTATATTGTAAAAAAAACTTGTAAGAAATTACAAATTAAGAACAAATTGCATTTGTTAAATCTAGGAGAACTGGACATCAAAATAAATCAAATGATAGTAACAGATTGAATTTATTTATTTATTAATTATTATTTATTTATTTATTCATTGAATAAAATGGGAATCAATGAATTCATACTGATATAATAGATGAATGAATGAATAGGGGAGAAAGAAGCATTTTCCCTTATAGATAAAAAATATTTTGCATATCCAATGTGGGGACTGAACCTAGGGCTTTGCTAAGTGCGTGCTCTGCAACTCTACAACTGAGCTGTTTAGCTAATCTTCCAGCTATGTATGGACATCTCAGCCTTGACTAAATATGTTTGAGAGGAACTGTGGAGTTAAAAAGCAAACATAGAAACCTGAATCAGAATTTTTTCCCTTTCATTTTAAAGGAGTTTATTTATTTTTATTTTTGCAGCACTGGGGATTGAAGCCAGGTGTGCTCTATCACTGARCTAGACCCCAGACCTTCTTTTTAATTTTAAGACAGGGTCTCGCCAAATTGCCAAGGCTGATCTCAAACTTGTGATCCTCCTGCCTCAGCAAAATAGCTGGAAATAGACATATACCACTGTGCCTGACTTTAGTTTTTTCTTTTTTTGCAATAAAAGATATTGGGACAAGTTCTAACTGACTAAGTTCTGTTGACCAGATAATCAATTAATGTACAGTGAAGTTTTTTGGGGTCAAGTGGAAATTTGCTTTCAAATGATTTGGAAAAAACTCCATATATATGTATATAAAAGAAAGAGAGGATAAATGTAAAAAATTGGAAAATAGAGATGAAGAGGGAAGGGTGGGTTTGTATTGTTCYTATAACTTTTCAGCAAATCTGAAATTATTTTTAAAAATTTAGAAAAAAACCCCAAAAACAATAAAAGCAAAAAATAAAAAAATCACTGAATGCAAATTGAAATAAAAGGATAAAAATTACSTGTATTCCCACTAGGTGGGTTTAAGTACATTTTTCTCTTTTTTCCTCCTTCTGACCCAYTCTCGTTTTCAAATAAAAAATTACACTGTATATATTGTTTCTAGCTTGATATGTTTTCATCCTGGCAATAGATCATGAACTTATTTCTTTTGTTCCTAAATTTAAGAAATATTTCTTAACATTTTCCCTTCAATCTGTAGTTCCTATAGTGGTAGTCTTAAATATTTAAAGGCTTGATTTATAAGAATAAATTTCTATCAGTCATACACTGATTATATTGAAAATGTTATGTATCAGGAATTACTCTTATTAAGACTTTGAAGTTCTGTTCCAAGGAACATTTCTATAATATCTCTTTCTTTTTTTTAATATTTATTTATTTAGTTAGTTATTGGCAGACACAACATCTTTGTTGGTATGTGGTGCTGAGGATCGAACCTGGGCCGCACGCATGCCAGACGAGCGCGCTACCGCTTGAGCCACATCCCCAGCCCTCTCTTTCTTTTTAAAATGTATCTTCCTCTCTCTCTCTCTCTCTCTCTCTCTCTCTCTCTATATATATATATATATATATATATATATATACTAGTTGATGAACCTTTATTTAATTTATTTATTTGTATGCAGTGCTGAGAATTGAACCCAGTGCATCACACATGCTAGGCAAGTGCTCTACTACTGAGCCACAACCCCAGCACCTCTCTCTCTCTCTTTTTAATAAAACATCTTTCTCTGCTATTGAATTGTCCCTCTCTACCTTAATGATAATGCAAATGATGCTACAGTGTTTGTCTGGTCTATGCTATATCTCCAGCACTTGGAATGATAGTTGGCAAATAGCAGATGCCCTATAAATGCTTTTTAAATGAATGATAAATGAAAAACATGGTAGAAATTATTGTRTTATCTTCTAAAATATGTATCTACTGATATTGTATAAGTACTGTTTGTCTTCTGGCTCTGAAGTGACAGAGTAAATGAGAAAAATAAATACTTTTCAATAGTTTTTAAAGTGCTAAAAGGCTGGGTGTGGTGGCACACACCTGTAATCCCAGCAGCTGGGAAGGMTGAGGTGAAGGATCGTGAGTTCAAAGCCAGTCTCAGCACTTAGTGAGACTCTGTCTCTAAATAAAATACAAAAAAAAAAAAAAAAAATAGGGCTGGGGATGTGGCTCAGGTTTAAGTGCACCTGAGTCCAATCCCTGGCACAAGGGGGAAAAAAGTGCTAACAGAATAACAATCTGAGAACAGCATGAATGATATAAGGAAAGTGATTTGGAAATTTAATTCCAGCAGTTGGTTTTATAGTTTCCTTGCATATGCACAAAGYATAAAAATAACAGCATGAAGAGACCCTTATTTTCACACATTTACTCTACAATGTTGTTCATACAAAGTAAAACAAAAAAGTAAGCTTGGAGGAAAAACATTGTACAATATAATTGGTTAAAACCTTACTAATTCCACACATTGCAAAATTTTCAAAGTATAGCAGTCAATTCACTGCAAAAAYGAAGGCTGAACTATACTAAATACAGACCATCATAAGTGTGGATATCAGGCCTTATATTGTGCTGCTTGGAATCATATACTATTTTAAAAACTATGTTGCTAATCTATACATTGGCATATATATTGTGTATATGGCACACATATCTATCTATTGAGAGTGAGAGTCTGGGAGAAAAAGAGAAAAGTGATAAATGCAAACAAAAACTAAAGAGACCATTTTTTTTCCTAATCAAAACCTATATTCTTAGTTCTTCTGCAAGAACTAAGAATCYACCTATGTGATAGCTTAAATTTCCTCTGTGGAGCCCAACACACTATTTYATCATTGTTTATGCATTCCCTAGTTTTGGTAATTCATCTGATCCCTTATAAATAAATATGAAACTCTTACGATTCAACAATGGTGCAGAGCCTTGACATAAATGACCCTGCAAGGTGGCAGTTCTGCAGGAAGACCCATTGATGCCTTTTAGTTAGTGCCTGAACAATGAGGTCTTCTGCTTTGGTTGCCTGGCCATGACTCAAGGAAATCATGGTCACATGTTCCGTTGTTCCTTTTAATTCTTGTGCAAATCTCAGGAGAATATTGGTGAGGTCAATTCCTGTGTAACAATGAGAGGTACATAAAACAGTAAGCTCATATAATTCTCTATTTAAAAACACAATGAAGGATCACAAGTTCAAAGCCAGCTTGAATATATATATATATATATATATATATATATATATATATATATAGACTGGGGATGTGGCTCAGTGGATAAGCCCAAGTTCAATCTTTAGAGCAGAAAAAGCCAACAGGGGGAAAGTTACAAAAGGAGACTGCTACTAACACCTTTCTATCACTAGAGGATGTAAGGGTCCAACCAACAGCGCCACCTCTAGAGGAGACTGYTACTAACACCTTTCTATCACCAGAGGATGTAAATGTCCAACTAACAAGGCCACCTCCATATGCTGGGAGGCCCCCAACCCCCGCAGTTGATAGTTGGGATCCTGAGACAGKATCTCAAGTATTAACATGCCCTGTATTYGAGGTAGGAGGGCAGCGAATTTACCAGGGTTTAATTTTCAAAACAGTGAAGGAGCTAAAAGAGGCTGTAACAACCTATGGTCCTCAAGCACCCTTCACTGTAAGCTTGGTTGAATCCATTAACAACTTGAACATGACGCCAGCAGATTGGGCTAAAATGTGTAAAGCTGTGCTAAATGGAGGTCAATACCTGTTATGGAAGGTTGCCAATGAGGAATTTTGCAAGGAGACGGCTAGGCGAAATGCAGCAGCTGGTTATCCTCAGAGAAATCTAGATATGTTGTTRGGAAAGGGACCTTATGAGGATCAGCAGCAACAAATTGCATATGATCCTGGCGTATACTCACAAATTGCTGCAGAGGCGATTAGGGCATGGAAGACTTTACAAGGACATGGAGGTTTACAAGGTCAATTATGTAAGGTAAAACAAGGAGCTAATGAACCTTACGCTGAATTTGTAGATAGGCTTATTCAAACAGCTACCAGAATTTTTGGGAATACAGAACAAGCAATGCCATTAATAAAACAACTGGCTTATGACCAAGCGAATCGTTGGTGCAGAGATATCATTAGACCATGGAAACAGGAAGATTTAAACACATATATTAAATTATGTAGAGACATTAATGAACAAGAGGAAGTCATGGCAGCTGCAGTAAAACAGGCTTTAGATGCCAGAGACATTAATGAACAAGGGCAAATTGTGGCAGCTGCAGTAAAACAGTCTTTATATGCCAGGCCAAGAACATGCTACAATTGTCAACAAACAGGACATTTTAAAAGGAATTGCCCCATAGGAGGAGGGTTTAACAAAACTAGGTATCAAAGGAGTAGAATACCGGGTATTTGCCCATGATGCCGTAGAGGGAGACATTGGGCTAATGAATGCCGTTCTCAAACCACCATAGAGGGTTTTTTCCTGAGGAGCTGTTTTGTTTGGCGTTTGTAGTTCTAAAAATAAAGTTAGTTTCTTTTGACAAGTGGCTCCTGAATTGTGCCCAGCCAGACTGCAGCATCAATCCCCAGTACAAACAAAACAAAACAAAACAAAACAAAACAAAACAAAAACCCACAATCCAGAATTTATTGACTGGTGGTGAGAGAAGGTGTAGCCAATTGTGGAAAGACTACAGGTTTTGGAATTGGAGCCCAGAATTCACATTTTGTCTCTGCCACTTTCTAACATATGGGTATAATAATATTTACTAAAGCAGTACTAGTTGATTATCTACTCCTTCATCTTCTTGYCCTTCCTCTTCTGTTAGCTGTACTCCTGGGTTGCTTGAGATAACTGTGTACCTTGCTAAAATATTATAGTTTAGCTAATCTTCCAGCTAAGTATGGACATCTAGGTTTTCGTGAAAAGGTTTTGACAGAAATGGAAGCACTGTGTAAAACTCTGGGTATCTTCTTGAAGGGAAGAGGTGTGACCCTCTTCCTGTCTTCCATGCTGTTGTTTAGCAMATGAGGTGATGGCTGAAGCTCTAGCCACCATCTTGGCCTAAGTCTTCAAGAAATAGACAGCAATCCTAGAGCCTAAACATAGACATGCACCTGGGGCACTTCCGGATATGGGTGCCTAAACATGGACGTGCACCTTTGAAACTTCCAGATCTCAGGGCCTAAAAATGGACGTGGACCCGAGGAACTTCCAGATCTGGGGGYTTAAACATAGACGTGCACCAAGGAACTTCTGGATCCAGGGGCCTAAACATGGAAGTGCACCTGAGGAACCTCTGGATCCCAGGCCTAAATATGGACGCTTGAGGAACTTCCGGATCTGGAGGCCAAAAATTGGACACCTGAGGAACTTCC